GCTGGGGGGGCCTTGATACCTCCGTGGGGTCATCGGGAGCTGGGGGGGTCCCTGCTGCCCCCAGGGCTCCCTGTGCCTTTGTGGGCGGGTCTCTGTTGCCCCCAGGTGGTCGTTGTGCCTTTGTAGGGGGGTCCCTGCTGCCCCCGGGGGTCGTTGTGCCTTTGAGGGGGGTCCCTGCTGCCCCCGGGGGGTCGTTGTGCCTTTGGGGGGGGTTCCTGTTGCCCCTGTGGGGATGCTGTGCTTTGGGGTGGTGTTGGGGTGGGCTCTTTTGGCCTCAGGGCTGGTCCCTGTTGCTCCTGGGGTGTCACCGTCCCTTTCAGGGTGTACTGGGAGGTCCCTTCTGCACCCAGGGCTGGTCCCTGTTGCCTCCATGGCGTTGTTGTCTCTTTGGGGGACACTGAGGGGACCCATGCCATCCCCAGGTGTTGCCCTGCCTCGGGGGGGTGCTGAGGGTCTCCTCCCACCCCCAGGGCTCCTCCGCTGTTGCTCCCATGGTGTCATGGTGCCCTGGGGGGGGGGGGCACGGGGGGCCCTCCTTCCTGGCCCTAGAGCTGGTCCTGCTGCCTCGGTCACAGCAGGGAGCTCGGCTGAGGGTCCCTCCTGCCCCCCAGCTCCAAACCTCGTTGTCCTTGGGCCTTCCTCACTCCCTCCCTGCCAGGACAGTCCCCGTTGTCCCCTGGGGGTGCACAGGGAGCAGGGGTCCCCAGGACAGGCACGGCCGGACCCTGTGCTGCCGGGCTTTAACCTGTCGTTTCCGTCAGCTGCCAGCGAACCTCCAGCCGCGGCGCTCACTGCCCGCGGCACTGCCGCCGCCGTGCAGGTGAGTGGGCCACCCTGCGTCCGGCAGCACTTGCCTCGGGTCTGTCTGTCCTGTGTGTGGCAGAGGTGGACATTTGGGCTGCGTCTGCCTCGGTCTCCTTTGCAATGCTGGATTATTCGTGTCGGTGGCGCGGTCCTGGGCTCCTCCAGCTGCTCGCCCCTTTGCTCTTGTGGGATTTCTCCTTCTAGCCAGGTTTTCCTTGGCCTTGGGACCACCGCTTCCCCCTGGGGAGCCGAGGGCCTCCTTTCTCCCAGGCGCTGGACGGGAAAGGGGCAGCGCTGTGTGCTGAGGCAGCCAGTGCTCATTAGCCGCAGTTAATTAGGCCCTGCCTGCACTGGGAGTGGGTTCACGCTGTCCCCCGAGGTGCTGGGGGAGACAGGGCTGTGCTATGGAATAGCTGGGAAAAGCGGTGGGGAGGTGGGTGCTGCATCCCCCAAAGAGACACTGCCGTGCCCAGGGTGCTCCAAGATGGGGATTCTGGACCTCCGTGTAATTGCAAACGGGAAGCTGCTTAATTAGCGTTGTCACTAGGACCTGCCAGGCTCCCAGGTAGGTTTGTAATTAACTAAGGCTCTCCCAAGTGCGGCCCACTGGCAGGTTTCTGCCCACGTCTCGGCAAACTGGAGGCGCCCGGCTGGCCTCTTTCCTGCGAGGGCCATTCGGGGTGGAAACCTGCTCATTGTGGGAGGTTCAGTTGGGGGTTTAAACCCCCCAACAGCATCTCGGGGGGAAGGAAGGCTCCTCTGTAGCAAACAAATGAGGTTGCCTCCGTCCAGGTCTGATGAGAAAACTTTCCTTAAATAGAAGAGGCTCAGCTGAGCCCAGCGTGACACGTGCGCCAGAGGGACCCGGCATAAACACAGGCATGAGGCTGCGCCGTGGTGTCCTGTGGGTGTCTTGACATGCTGGGGTGTTGGAGACTGAGGTGAGGGGCTCTCGGTGTGTCGAAAATGCCCCGTGCTCACTCCTGGCCCCGTTGCTCCTCTGCTTTATGTCGCCCGAACGCGGACCAAGTGCCCGTGGAGCCTGGCTATTCGGGTGTTTATATAGCTATGTAAATATTTTAATGACAGATCGTTCAGGGACGAAGCAGCTGAGAGCACTGCGTTTCCAGCCATAAAGCGTCTGGGTTGGCGATGCCGCGGAGCGTGGCCAAGTCCTTCGGGCATTGCGGAGTGGAAACCGAGTGCCGGTGCGGATGGATGGCGGATCTCGGGTGGCAGCGAGGGGCTGGAGCTGCTTGCCGCACAGAGCACGGCCTGTGTCCTGCTGGCTCATGGCATTACAGGTTGGGGTAGCAGCTCGGGATGGAAAGGACCATCTCCTGGGCACGACTGTTGGAGTTGCTGACCAGTATCGTGCCGGTTTGGGGGCTTGGAGCCTGGCAGGCAGTGGGTCGGTACAGCGGTGTGAGCCCCGGTGTGCTGTGCCAGCAGGATGCTGAGCCCTAGGCGCTTGCTCAGTGGGTCAAGGCCGTTCCTGCCGCAGGGGGAGGAGGCGGCAGCGGTGCTGTGGCAGCACCCGCAGCTTGATCCCGGCGGCCGCAGAGGCTGCCAGGAGGCTGTGGCATGCGGAGGGATATTTTTAGGGTCCTCGCAAGGGTGCTGGAGAGTCAGGCTTCGAGCATGTGAAGCTGGGAGCACTGATCCTGTCCAGATGTTGACTCCAGGGAACTGCAAAACCCACGTGTCAGCTCCCGGGGTCGCACTGCGCAGTGCCCTGGAACTGGGCTGGATTCGCTGGCTCCGGCTGCGTGCCCCCAGGCATTGCCGACTTGGCAGGGAGACCTGGTCTGGCGCTGGCAGCTCAGTGACAGGCTCAAATCTTTCGCTGAGGGCTCAGGGCTCTCGGCGGGGCTGACCGTGTCCCAGCTCCCTCCGATCCATGCTGAGCAGTGTCTTGTTGCTTCCGTCAGTGCTCCCCACTTTGGGGAGGTGGAAGCGATACCTTCGGCGCCGTCTGCGTTTCCAGCCACCAGTAACTTGAGCGCGGGGTTCCCCCATGTCCACCTGCTGCTGGTTTATCCCTGCCTGAGCTCTCAAGTGCCGACGCCATGCCGTGCCGCGGGGCTGCTGGTCGACGCATGCTTTAATCTCCCTGCCACGTGAACGGCTTCGGCGCCTGCGAGCGGAGCTGGTGGGTGGCTGGGGAGGCTGATGCAGAGCTGTCAGAGCCAAGCACCCAGCTTGGCTATCCATCAGTACCGGGCAGCTGACATGGGCTGGCGTTGTGCTTCCAGGCATAGAAGATGGCTAGGGAGCCCAGTGTCCCCCACGGTGTCACTGGTGCTGCCAGAGGCCACGTCTGTCCCTGCTGTCTGCTTCACCAAGGCAGCTGAGGGCTTTTTTTCCCCTCAGTTCTCTTAATTTCCTAGCAAGGTTATGGTCCTCCGGTGTGGGTGAATGAGACGTGAAGTCAGGCTAATTATTTGGTAATGGATTCCTCTCCTCTGAAAGCACGTTTCTTGTTCCTCACCTTTGTGAAAAGGCTGCCGTGAAACGGTGTTAATGACAGATCTGAATAGGTAATTTGGCAGAGGAAAATAGCTACCAAGGAGCAAAGTCCAAACCTGGTTCTTTTTGTATGTGCAAAGACCCTCCCAGTCCCTTGGATTAATAATGCTGCCGAAGGCAAAATAACCAGCGGAGGGAAAGTTGACCTGTTGATGGACTTTCTGATCTCCTGACTCAGGCGGCAGGGACTTAAGCCATAGCTGAGCACTGCGGTGTTTTGAGCCTGTTCCTTAGTCATCTGGCGTTACAGGCACCGTACGAGGGACAGAGTCGCCTTGCCACTTAGAGCAGTAAATTAAAAACAGTCCTGCCCCAGCTCCTGCCTGGTCCTGCCCGTGTGCCCACAGCCCCCAGGGACAGACCTGGCCAGGCACGGGGCACCGTCTGCGGCATCGCGAACTCGCCGGCTGAGCGAGCAGGAGTCGCCCCCACCGCAGCGGTGAGTAATCCCCTCGCAGGGCTGAGCCTTGGCGCTTTGCGGGAGGTGAACACCCGCTCTCCTCCCTGCCGTGCCGCCGGCATGAAGCCTTCATGTGCTGAGAGCCGCTGGTGCTGGAGGGACGGGCTCGGCACTGTGTCTGGCTGCCGCCGCAGAGCAGAGATTCGGCGGGTTTGGGCAGGGGAAAGGAGGGCTGAGGCTCTGGGGCAGCTCTCGTCCCCGGCTTTGCGCTTCAGCCCTTTCCTCCTCCTCTCCACAGTATTAGTGGTTTTAAAGTGATTTTATACAGGCTGCCAGCACCAGCTGGGGAAGAGTTAAAACTGAAGCTGCAGAAAACACTTTATTTTTCTTCTGTACTACAACTCTTGTTACTGAGGAAGCAACTGCAGTCGGCTGAAGCTTGCTGGTGTTTTCAATTGCATAAACTTGGTTTCCTTATAAATGCTGCTATGCTGTAAGAGCTTTTATCACGCTTCAGCCAGAGCCAGCCCGGCTGCCCAGGCCTTCCCCGGGCACCCCGGTGGTGCCATTGGGCAGTGACGGTGGTGGTGGCCCCTGCTCTATCGCCCTGCAGCTGTACCTGTGTGTCGGCAGCTTCAGCGAGCCCCACTTGCCTGCTAAATCACCCATTTCTTAGAGAGGAGCCATGCTCGGGCTTGGACTGGCAGTGACAGACCCAGCCTGGGCAGAGCCTTTTGCCTTCTTTGGCTCTCTGGGGTTCTGCTGGTGTTAATTCCCAATCTAACAAGGATTAGTTTCTGGAGTCTTTGCTGTAATTGGAGTTAATGATGTTCTGGCTTCGGCTTTTCCCTGTGTGTAAACGGGGAACTTTTAGCAGACTCCCTGATACTGGTTAAGAGCAAGCAGCTAAACCAAGTATGAAAAAGTCTGACTAAAAATAGAAGGAAAGTAAAGAACGAGCAAAGCATAAATAATTTTTTTTTTTTCCCCTCCACCTTGGCAAAACCTCTGCTGCTCGTGACTCCAACATGTTTCCCTCCCGTGTCTCGGTGTAACCCGGCGAGGTGGCTCTGCCGGCAGGTGCTCTCACCAAAAGCCACCTGTGTCCACTGGCAACCGATGGGCACCGCGATCCTGGGGGGGGGTCCGCAGTCCCCGGGCGTGGAGGCAGCGCTGCTTCGCAGCTACAGCCCTGCGGGCGCTGGCGCTGCAGCGGGGGGGGAGGCGGGGGTGC